CTGGGAATGTACCACGTCCACGGTCCGACTTTGGAAATAATTATGCATACAATGGACTCAGGACAAGATGAGTTTCTATAAGTCTTCCTATCATTATGACCAAGTTGCGAAAACAAGGTCAAACAACTTCTAACGTTTTAGTGTTGCAAGTTATGAGCGATTGTACTCATGATGAATAAAAGGGAAGGCGCAGCAGATTCTAATGTAAAATCTCTTTTTCTCTGCATATTGATACAAATAATATTGCCGATAGCCCGGTCCAAATGAGTGCTAATTATATTACAATTTTAAATATATGATCTAATGCCTGATTAAGTGGTATGCTAATTTCGGATTACTTAATTCTCTTGTCTCCAATACAACATTGTGGAGTTTACTTCCATTTCGAGTAGAAGTGTTGGGTGAAGAGATTCGAAGTTCGGTTCCACCAGAAGATGACGGCGAATTCCAATCGACAGCTGGTCAAGAGGAATTCGCCATCGTCTTCTGGTGGAACCAACTTCGAATCTCTTCACCCAACACTTCTACTCGAAATGGAAGTAATCCCAACAATTATGAAACAAGAAATTCTTCGAAACCCTCTCTTCACCCAACACTTCTACTCGAAATGGAAGTAAGCTCAACAATTATGAAACAAGAGATTCCTCGAAGCCCAACTTTTTTTCCTATACAACAGATGTGGAGCTCTTAAGATTAGACAAAACTTTTCATGCTAATAAATTCTATATCGTCCCACATGCAGTCTAGGCTTAGTTCACCTTGAATGGGATGTTTACGGAATGCTCTCTTATTCAGGTTAAATCTAGCAAATTTGTCAAGCATCTTGCAGCTCAGGTATCTTAAAATATAGGATTATAACAACCAGAAGGTGGATAGAGATCTCCTTCATATGCAAGCCTCAGTGATCCTTAAGAAAAGAGGGTATGAATATGGAATTGCTATTTTAGTTTGACCATCTAAGGAAAGTTTAGGCCTCTGACTAGAATGCCATTGGCTTCATCATCTAATTAATAGACATTTGCAGTCTACCTAAACATAATGTTGGGGGACCTTTCATTTCGTTTGAAAAAGTGAGTGGAACGGATTCGTAAGTTGGTTCTACCGGTAGGCGTGAGGGGATTACCTTGGAGCTGTGATTGTAGATTTGTGCGAATAGGTCCTTGGCGCACTGCCCTGCGACCCGGATGAATCCTTGCTGAACTTTCCTACGTCATGTGAAGGACATCGTCAGAGCAGGACAATATGCTAAATGAAAATTCACCAAAAACACGAAGGTAAGAGAGGTTGCAGGCTTCAAACCCACGTAATTCTTATAGTCCAATTTGGTCCCCCTTAGCAGTTCATGTTTTTGTTGGATATCCAATGATTTATACCGGCGTACCTTTTATTTCGTTTGAGAAGGCGGGTCGAAGGAAATCGTTACTTGGCCTCACCGGATATGGCAGATGGGTTGCCTGGGGATTTTGACTGTTGAATTGTGCGCAGAAGACCTCGGCTCACAATCCAGAGACACTGATGAACCTGTGGAAAGCGTTCGTCTGTACTGTGACAGACATCGTTAAAGAAAGAATCATAGTCTTACGAGATGGAGCAAACACAAAGAGTTAGAATAAACCAGTACAACTTTGGTGGCCTGGCAGTCATGAACTAGATGGATGGATAAGCAAACCGTCATAGAAATTCGGCATTATCGCCAAAATGTACTAGAAATCCACTTGAGATGCCCCATGCGACCAAAGATAGGCGTTCACAGTTTGCTCAAATAATATGGGTTTAATGAAGGAGAGAACCCATGAAGGGAAGACCTGATATCTGCAAGCATGGGAATCAGAGCCTAACCGCTCTGCTCTATGAGGCGGCAGTGTATGTGCTTCTACGGCTTTAAGAAATAGCGCCTGGTGTGAAATGCACACTGGGACTGGAACCGAGTGAAATAGGTGAACCAGAAAGATAAGAGACAGATCTACAAGAGCATGAGGGAGATCCAGATAGGAGGCCAGATTTGGATTAGCCGCTCAAAGGAGAGGGGGTCATCGTGAATGGCATGTGTGATGAGGCCAAACTAGATTTGCCACAAAAGGACACACATTTTGACGAGTGGTATGTAAACAAGTCAGAGGTTGTGATAGGGCGAGAGTTGAAAAAGAGGGTAAGGAGTTGATAGATGAGCCAGGACAGAAAGAGGAGTGATAGTGTAACCGTTTTCGGCAGAACGTTGATCGAGGGATTGACTTCCCTTGTCTCTTTGACGAGTTCGTAGCTCGATGCGGAGAATGACAGCACTCACTGATGATGTCGACTACGATGCCGGCGAAACGTTTGAGAATGTAGCAAGTCAATTGTCCGATGCTATAAATAACGGATACTATGATAAAGTACAGAGGACTAAGTACATTACACAAACGAGGTCATACCAACACTACAAAGCTGAAGGAGAATGAGACCAAATAAAGACCATACAATCTTGATCTTCATTACTACGATTTTTTTTAATGGTCTGCCGCATGTCTTTGGTAGCACACGTCCTCACCTCACGGCCTCACCGAGTAGAGAGCCTAGGTTCTGATTCCAAAGTTTGCAGGTGTCAGGCATTTTCTCCACTAGCCATCGCCTTGACTCAACTCATGTACCCTGAGCCAACTGAACACGTTTATTTCTGGTCACCTACCCTGTAACCGAAAGGCACTCGCAGCAATGTGGAATAGTAATTACTGTGTCAAGATTATGCTCTACACTGTCATGGTTCAAGTTCCACTTTGGGTGTTGATAAGACTTCGCCAAGGTCGAAACTGCAGTCCACCTCAGGTAAGAATATCTTTTGTGAAAGCAAGGCTGTGTGAATTTT